GGCATACAGTATATGTAAACATCACTCGGTTTAAAGTATTCATTTTGAAGCATGAATAACGGAAACAGAAAATGTAATCATTAAAATTTGCCTCCGAATGCATGTAATTTTTGACAGGGCACTCCTTTTTTTCTGTACCATGTTACCCTTCTTCTGCTGTACCATGTTCAGCTGTACCTTGTCCTACCCTATATCCCCGTCCATTCCAGCCTCTTTCACTACATGTTACTTGATTTTGTGTGTGCAAAACCTTGCCTCGGTTAATTGAACGAGACTCTTGACCACCTCCCCTGAAGTGTTAGTACCATCCATAAGCCCTCCTCTATTTTTACTACAGGCTAACCTCAACCCCAACCATTTATCATGCTTACCTTTGCCTCGCCACTTTGGCATAATCTGTTGCTTAATGTTGACCGGAAAGGGGTCTAGGCAAGGAAGTTTACTAGGGGGCGATTAAACACTATACAGTTTAAACCAGAAGTGGTTCTACGGGGTGGGGCGGGGGCTAGGTGGGGGTGGCTTTCCCCTCCCCCCCCCAAAAAAAAACAAACCACCAAAAAACCCAAAAAACAAAAATCCATACAAAAATGGCAGTGGCCAATTTTAGAACTTGACGTCACATGCAAATTGTGTCACCCCAGAAAAAAACTAGTCTTGAGAAGGGGGCATTTGAACACTATTTGGCATTATAGTGTGCATGACTGTAGGATTTTATCAGCGTTCCCCAGTGAAAGTGCTGTATGACCCCCCCCCCCTTTGATTTTTGGAGGCCTAAGCGTCATGAGAAAAAAAAAACGGTCTACATTTCAGCACGCCTCCCTGCAAAAGATTCTGGATCCACCCCTGCTAGCCCCCTCACCCCCCCCCCCAAAGTTTAAATATATAGGCTCTAGAACCGCGCCTAGTTTAAACCTAGACTTAAAATCGATATATAAATTTTACCAAGCTACAGAGCTGTTTTGCCGAGCATTCGTCTCTTCTTGAAAATTAAAAAAAAAAAAACACGACACACTACGCAATGTACCTGCTAAGATGCATGACCACTTTGAGGTCAGCTTCCCCCAAAATTCATTTTAAACCCATTGAGCCTTTTTCACACTATCGTCTCGCCTAACCTGTTTAAATCAAGAAGTGTGCAACGTAAGTGGAACCGAGTTCCATCAAACACTGGTAGCCAAAGTGCACTTTTCACGCTTGCACCTCTGAACGTGTACACAGGTCGGCTGTAGATTTGAGATTTTCTACCCGGGAACAGCCGCAGTCTGAACCCTTTTGATCCGTGTACCCGTGTACCGCCGTACCAGTGCAGCTGCGGTGTTGCTTCATGCTATAGTGTTTAAAGGGTTTCCCAAAATCAGTGTCGGACCGTTTTCGAAGACGGAGATTTTGTACAGGATGAAAGGGGCTTTGGAAAGTTTGAGAGTATTTTGAAGGATTGGGAAAGGCATAAAAAATAGGTGTCACGAAGTGAAATATGAAATTGAATGAGAAAAAATAATCTTTTGCTCTATATAAGAAACATAATGTTTATGCCATGTGGCCAAACATCGTCCACCCCATAAATTTGGGAAACAGAATGTTGAGTTTATTTGGCCAGTGTGCCTGCACACGTACACATCCGTGCAGTATTTTCATGTAAATTAGTTAGTTTCGCGGGAAGAGAATACATTTTCACTATTGGTCAGTTACAGGGTTATAAAACAACAGGTTTGAGTAGTCACGGGTACAGTTGTTCGCAGGATAGGATATTTTGGGGCGGAGAGGTGTATAAGGAACTTGCGTCTGAGGTTCCGAGGAGAGGACAAGCTTTGCCAGCCTTGATGATTGTCAACAATCTATTTCGAAATTTGCCTGCTACATTGAGCTGATAGGTGTCAATTGTTATGAGTGCAATCATAGATAGCCTAGTAGAAGAAGCCGATTTATCCTCTGACAGCCATAAATACGCCAGAAACCATTTTGCCGGGCCTTCAGATTTCAAGAACCAGGTTCACCACCCAACCTGTAAGCTTATTATTGTATAACTGGTGCACCCCACTTTAAACATTCACATAGGTACTAGTGATAAATCCCACATTCATGACTTCAAAATTCTGTTGAAAATACTCAGAACTCTCACAGCTGTTCAGGCTGCACAGAAAAGTGATGATCGTTGTCTTCTTTTATTTTATTTTCAATTTTTGGTTGGTTGACCGACACATTTTTGGAGAAATTTTCACCCAAAGAAGACCACTCCCAAAACGAAAAGTAGCCAGTTTGAAAGAGGATCCCTCTGCAACATGGCTTACAGATAGCGCCACTTTCGGACCCAATTGCATTCCAGTTGCTCAGAATTGGAAGCCCTGCAGGCTAGAGGTGCAGTACCATCTGTCTTCAATTACACTGTTAAATGTTTGCCCGTAATTTTACGGTAAAAGTACTGTCAAACGGGTTGCCAACCAAAAGAAAAACACGTAAAATTTCGGTCAGCTACGGGCATGGGCGACGCGAGGAGAGGGGCAAGGGGGGGGGGGGGGCTATTGACCCCCTGGAAAACGAAAAAAAAAAAGGAAAAAGGGGAGAAAAAAGAAGGAAAAAGAGGTGCGAAGCCGTATTACTGTTTATTTGAAGGGGGGGGGGGGAATGCTCAGCTGCTCACGCTCGGAAAAAAGATAAATTGAGAATATAATAAAAAAGTTAAGGAATTTTGAGGACGTAAAGTAATGGAACACAAGAGAAATACTTTGTGATAATAACATACCGATGGCTCTCTGGAGAAGGGTATATGACCAGAGTGTGCTTACAACAATAACTTATGGAGCAGAAACATGGACAACAACCAAAAAGTTGTATAATGCTAACTATGTTCAGAACAAAGAGCAATGGAGAGGCAGATGCTTCAAATCTCAATCAGAGACAGGGTCAGATGCACAGAAATATGAAAGAAAATGAGGATTAGAGACATCATAAAGACAGTAAAACAGGCACAATGGAGATGGGCTGGACATGTCGCCCGAAGATGGTCAACAACTGATGGACTGATGGAATGGCAACCAAGGACGGGGAAACGGAAAAGAGGCAGACAACGAAGAAGATGGAGGGGTGACATAACATCATATGCGGGAACATTATGGACAAGAACAGCAAGGAATAAAAATAAATGGCGCCAACATGAGGAGGGCTACATCCTACACTGGATGAACACAGCCTAAATGATGATGATGATGATGATGATGATGATGATGATGATGATGATGATGATGATGATGATGGGGATGATGGGGATGGGGATTAATTTCCATTCACATAGGGTTGTGCAGTTAAGAGATTCATTTTGTGGAAGGACAAATTCCCTGATATCCACATAATGACCACATATGTGGTTATTATGTGGATTGCCAATATGTTTGTGGTCATTTTGTGGTTTTTGTTATTATGTGGACGTGGTAATTTTGTGGTTTAGCTCAATATGACCCTTGTACCACACAGTCTCCTCCAATAACATAAATTTTAGGTTCCATTTTTAATCAAAACCTATTTTTTATAGGGCAAAGCTACAAAGCCAAATTTAGTTCCAAATTGATTTCCAAATTTTTAGGCTTCTTTGGAAGCACTTTTAAGTTTTAATTGTAAAGATTGAAATTTATTCATAAAAGTTTTCCCTTTTGTCATTATGTGGAAGGGCAAAATCTGAATATTTATTCGGCAAGGACCCTGTTTTCTGTAAAGTGTTTTAAATTGCCTCATTTTCTGGGAAAAACAATTATGTGGGATTTCCTTTTAATGAAATGAGTAGCTAGATTGTTTTTGTTTATTCTTTTTATAAAAAAAATTACATTTGTGCCTCCATGTAGATGTACAATCTTTTCATTTTAGGTCCATGTGTAAAAAGCACAAACCACATATTGACCAACATTTAATGGCAAAATGCATGTTAATTAAAGCAATTTGCATCAAGTATAAAATTCTAGACATTCGATTTCTGTACCCGTTTGGGTGGTGAAAAAGTGGTTAAATTAAAGTTCAACCTTGAAGTTTCAATAGTGATGTTATAGGCACATTTCTAGCAGTATAGTATCTTGAGAGAACCGACCCCATTATGAATGTATAATTTTGCCACGATTATGACAAGGGGATTGCACAAAAAATCTTGACCTAACTCACTTTTGTGAAAAGAAATTAGGCTTATATATATAATAATTATCACATACAAAGACATTAAAATAAAACACACAATGAGAGATTTCGTAACTTTTCTGCATTTTTTTTCAATTTATTCAACAATATTCAAATTGCAGATTTAAACTTTAAAATTCAAAGTAACCTGAGGCAAGTTGCATGCGAGCACAACCAAGGCTTCTCACACTGAGTTTCAGTCTTACCCAAGCCTAACAAGTTCACAAATTTCAACAATATTCAGTTTGTAATTCAGAGGACCTGAGGCAAGTTGCATGCGAGCACAACCAAGGCTTCTCACATTGAGTTTCAGTCTTACCTAAGCCTAACAAGTTCACAAATTTCAACAATATTCAGTTTATTTTTAATTCAAAGTAACCTGAGGCAAGACAAAGTTGCAGGCACAACCAAGGCTTCTCACATTGAGTTTCAGTCTTACCCAAGCCTAACAAGCTCACAAATTTCAACAATATTCAGTTTATTTTTAATTCAAAGTAACCTGAGGCAAGACAAAGTTGCAGGCACAACCAAGGCTTCTCACATTGAGTTTCAGTCTTACCCAAGCCTAACAAGTTCACAAATTTCAACAATATTCAGTTTGTAATTCAAAGTAACCTGAGGCAAGACAAAGTTGCAGGCACAACCAAGGCTTCTCACACTGAGTTTCAGTCTTACCCAAGCCTAACAAGTTCACAAATTTCAACAATATTCAGTTTATTTTTAATTCAAAGTAACCTGAGGCAAGACAAAGTTGCAGGCACAACCAAGGCTTCTCACATTGAGTTTCAGTCTTACCCAAGCCTAACAAGTTCACAAATTTCAACAATATTCAGTTTGTAATTCAAAGGGCCTGAGGCAAGACAAAGTTGCAGGCACAACCAAGGCTTCTCATACTGAGTTTCAGTCTTACCCAAGCCTAACAAGTTCACAAATTTCAACAATATTCAGTTTGTAATTCAAAGGACCTGAGGCAAGACAAAGTTGAAGGCACAACTAAGGCTTCTCACACTGAGTTTCAGTCTTACCCAAGCCTAACAAGTTCATAAAGTTCAAAATTACAGATTTGCGGCCATGACCAGGGCTTCCAAGATCATGTTGTGGGCCTCAAGACCACAACTTTTAAAACCATATTGCAGGCCAAGACTAAGCTTCTTACACTGATTTGCAACCACAAGACTTCAACGACAATTTTGCAGGCCGCAGCTGAATCTATAGGACCACTTAATCAAGTACTAATCTTTGGTAAATGCAAACATTATCCAGAAAGCTGTTTATGAATGGAAATAGATATATACTTGGCCAGCTTCAGACAAATACATTGCAAACTTACAAGAGTATTGTCACAGATAGTTTCGCAGGGGCGTACTGCAAACTTACAAGAATCTTGTAAATATTAAATATACTTGATTAAAACTGGCCAAGCATATATTTGTCCCCAGAATTAAAAACCCGGATCAAGAAAAAACATCAAAACATTTTTCATTTTAATAATGTATGAAGTCAAACTGTCCAACACTAACCATTGGGAAAGACTAGTTCGTGTCTTGACGCATTGCAAGGCCGAATTCAAACCAGGAACACTAACGCTTAACTGCTGTTAATGAATAGTTGCTCTGCCTCCTCATGGCTTACATCCAGATGGCGTTCTGCAACCCGAATCAGTGCCTCTGGCAGGAGCACTTTCAGGACATAGTCCACACGCTGAAAATGAGCACAAAGAGTGGAAAATTAGAACCACTGAGACCACTTGTTTTGAATGCAATTTGTTAACAATAATGTTCATCACAACCTTCCATAGTACTTTAAGCTCAACTACACAAAAAAAACCTGAGAATGCTAGGGCAAACCCTTTTTTATCAAGCTCGACCAGTAGTACCCTGTTGTTACAAAATGTCAAAATGTCTTCTAAATTACAGGATGCCAGATACTATAGGACACATGGAAAAACATGTGCCAAGAAAAGCACATTTACCACTGTATTGGTTTTTATTTCAGAGAAACAAATTTAAATCTGTATTTCTTTTATCATCACTGCATGTAGAAGTCCCTAAAAAATAAAGACGTAATTTCAAAAATGTTAGGTTCATTTTGTATTTTTTTTGTTAAAAAGTTATTAGGTCATAAAACTTTTTTGAAGGCACTGCTCAATATGCAAGATTGATAAAAAACAGGAGCAAATTTAAATCATGTGCGGTTCTAAGGAAGGGGCCCGGGGGAGGGGGGCTTTACCCCCAAAATTATATATCTTGCCCCCAAAATGCAATTAATAAAAAGGAAATAGCGAAAGTGAAAGTTAGGTGAAGGTGATGTCACGTGGGAAGTCCCTAGCCCCCCCCCCCCAAATATTAACTCTACCTACCCCCCCCCCTAAAATATTGGCTCGAAAACCGCGCATACACAATTGAATTAAATTTAGATCTTAGAGTAAACCCTACTACAATACTAACCTCGGTCTCATTATTGGGGCAAAATGTCTTCACCAACACATCCGCTGCCAGCTCATACTGCTCATCGGTGAATGGGCCTTTTGTGGTTTCATACTGAAGTTCTTCTGCATATGAATAAAATGAGCAATATTATTATATTTCCAGAAATGGTCTACACTGACCAAATAGTTTAATAGTGGCCAACGTGAACAGCAATGCTAGGTTTTGGTCCTGTACAAGATTTTTCCACACAAACTCTGTTAACTGCCTAGTAGCTTTTGAGCGTAAAATCTATCCAATTTGCCTCTAACTAACAATCCTATTCAAAATGGACGTATTGTTATTCTTGGCTTACTGTGCACTTTCTCTTTGTAAGTTGTTTTTGTCTTAACAACAGTAAGTTATTCTTCTCTATATGTGTTTCTTTTCATGGTTTATGCTTGTGTTCTAAATAGTTTCTCTGTATTTTTTTTATTTTGACGAGGTAAGAACAGGAGCAAGAAGGACAATAACAACTTACTTACTTTTTTGTCTATAATCAATTTTCCTTTGATTTCCCTTAATGAAGATGTTCTGTTTTGGCAGTGGTTGTACAGAAAAAAAAAATGTTACACTGAATGAATAAACACACCTCTAGATCGTCTCCCTTGCTTGAAGCGCCTATGGCGCTTGCATGCCACGTCCTGCAATAAAAGTTTCATATAAGCAAATGTAATCATGTGTCCCTTAATGTTCATGTTGCGCCTATCTCAAGCAGCCCAAGTTACATAACTGAAATCCAGGACATGTGACCTGACACTTAACTTGTGATTTGCAATGTTATGTTCAAACAAAAGACGAACAAAATCAATTAACGGTAAATGGCAAATTATCTACCACACATTTCTATTTTACTCATGTGCAGGTGAATTTGTTTAATGAAACTTTAAAAAGTTTGGTATCACTACAGCCTGCTCACCTTGCCTTCAAAGATGTTCCGCAGGTACTTCTTTTCCCTCAGTATGTGGTCCGTAAGTTGATCATCTGTCAGCTTTGTGGGACTGCGGTTGAAAATTAAAGAGAGGCTTAAATATTAATTGAAGTATTAAAAAAAGAGGAGTGCATAAAGAAATTGAACACTGCCAAGACAATCACACAAGTAAAAGCATGATCGCACAGCTGATTAAATGACAATGTCTTGTGATATATAAGACTGATTTAAATGTGATACAGTCATAAGCCTAAATTTAACTGCATGTTTACAAATCAGTTACTTACCATTTAGTTTTGTTGGTCGCATTTTGGGCAGACTCTATAAAAAGATAAAAATTAACTCATTGTAATTAAAATACTGACAGCCTACAATAGTTTTAAATTAAATGCAAAGATCTGGAGCCAGCATGCATGTTTCAAAACATTTCAAGTTTAACTCATTTTGGAGCTAATATGAACGTTAGGTTTAACTCAATCGTCGCACATACAAGACAAAAGAACAAGAACTGAAGCTCAAGTCGACAGTGTCAAACAAAATTATGTTACAAACAAGGTATTAAAGTCAACTAATTCAAACTGTCAAACTCATTTGCTTATTGAATGGAAATGTATATTTACTGTGAACTTGTGATTTGGTCTTGGTACCAATCGTTAATGCTTGTGCTCTTAATTATTTTTGTTTTCTTCAATGCAATTTGAAGCTTCAATTAATTTTATCTAGTTTTTTTTATAAATAAGGGCCTTGATGTACAGCGCCTAATAAATAACCTTGGCACTTCTCAGGAACCTATTAAAAGGTGCGCAGAATTGAACATTACAGTGTTTCTGAATGAATGCACGGGAAACATTGCCTACATCAAGAAATGGAACATTTCCCTATATTTCCTTGATTTTTGTTTAGCAAAGCTGATTATTTCAATGCGAGTTTGAAGAATTTTTTTGGCAAAATACCATACCTTTTTTGGCCAAAATCTCAAGCATGCTTCGCAGCTTGTCTGCCACTTGCTTCCTCTTAAATTTCTTCCTCAAATGTTCATCTTCGAGGATAACATCTGCCTAAAAATTCCAATATTTTCAGTGAAAACCTTGCATTACAAAGCATCTCAAGCAACTTATGTACCCTCCGTATTCACATTTTGTTCACTTTCCCCTGCTCTGATCCCCATAAAAAAAGAATTCTGTGAAACACAAAATTGTGCAGTGGTATGACAGATGTCACGGCCTATCAACACAAAATTAATGCTCTAAGTGAAGCACCATGTGATTATAGTCTGCAAAAGTTCATTTGATGCATACATGCAAAAAAAGTGTGGTAGGCTGAATGGACTAGTGATTACTTTAAGGGATTGATTGCTCTTATGATTACTTTTGATTATGTTCATTTATGTCATTTTGTTCCTTTTTATGCCCTTTAGTTCCCCGTATCTATTTTCCTTTACATGTTTTTGACTTAATTATGGGCTTTAATGCATCATAACAGAAAGCATGTATATGTATGATTAAACCAAACCAAACCAAACCAAACAATTAACACACCCGTTTGTGTCTACTTTGAGCATTGAAATTGACTGCAGTGGTAATAAAACCAACTGAACAACTTGTCCATGCTTTTTCTTCATGCATGATTTTAAGCAACATGGATAATAAAATAATATGTTTTGTGCGAGAGGGTGATATTTAAATGCCTTATGAAAAAAATACTCTCAGAATTTGCCATTTTTTACTTGGCATTCACCATTGTCCATACTAGCACTGGAAACGGGACTGAAGCCCGTGCTGGGGCCGGAAGCTTCTGAAGGAATACAGATCACCCCTGATGTCAATACACACCTCCTTGATTGTTGTCAATTGTTTGCACGGACATCATCAGGGGTAATCCTGCTTCAAACCTCAGCACATGGCTTCAGCCCCATTTCCAGTGCTGTATGGACAATGGTGGCTGCCATGTTGAATGTGGCAAGCTCCACAAAATTTGTCATGCCTTGTGTACATGATCTGAAATTCTGCTTGAATTACACTGGAAAACAAAAGGGTTATTAAAGGGAAGATACAACATTTGCAAACATTACAAAACGAAATGATCAAATTATCACAAAATACCTTGCTGGATTGTTAGGGATCGACAGTCTAAAGCATCCTGTAAAATCGTGGCTCCTGGTGTGCTGACATTTTCAAGAAAAATGGTATTTTTCCAACGCTGGTCGGCTGACCAGCGTTGGAGAAAACTGGCTTATTTTCAAAACTGCTCCTAAGTTTTCATAATTAGTTATTCTGTGTTTTCTTTGCAATTGATTACACAACTGTGAAGCCTACTAGACTGACTCTCTGATCTTACAATTCCCCAAAGTCTCTAAATTCTCCGTTTCATCTTAAGTTGGGCAGGGAACCAGACTACAAGAACATGAATGGTTTTCTTGGTTTTTCCAACATCTACAAGCCCAAAACGTGAAACAAGTCATGTTAACAATATTTGCTATAACATACTAATCCTCCAAATCCATTTATTTCTGAATATTGCAGCAAAAGCAAATGTTATACATTCCCTTTAAGGATCAAAAGTAGGGCATGTTTTTTGGACCAAGTTCTATACACTGTAACTCACCACTCTTGTCAGGGCAGCCCCTGGTTCGCGTTCTTTGACAGAGTGGAATTTCTGTAGAAACAACGCTTTATCTTTTTCAGAAAAGATTGTCTGTGGATGTTGTTTTACCGTCTTTCCATAGAAGGCCAGCAGCTGGGAAAAAAGATTATACTTTAAAATTATGGAAACAATTTATCCAGTTCTACATTGGCAAATGTGGAATTTAAACAGTTGCAAGATTGAACGACCACTGATAAATTTACATGCACTTCTGGACAAGAAATGCTGAAAATAATAAAATCAAGTATTCCCTTGTACTGTTGTATTATCGATAAGGCAGTGTTGTCTGAGAGCTAGAGATATGATCAAAGATTACTCGAGTGGGACTCGAACCAATGACCTCCTGTTTACTAGTGCAGACATCTTACCACTTGGACCACCAAGCTTGAGGGGGTCAATTGACGCATACCGGAATGAAGGACTGATGATGGTATCATACTCTGCCCCCACTAATAAATTCATCATTCACTTTTGGCCAAGGAAATATGTATTTGCTTCCTATCTATTCTTGGCCAATAAACATCGAAAAGAAAGGTTGAATTACAAAATAAAGAACTTACGGAGTGTGCAGACATAACTGGCTCTGGCTGCGAGTGACCACTAGTACTACTTGGGCTCTCATCAACCTACAATTTGACCAAATGGAACAATAATGTTCAGCAACACATTTACAACCAAGAACAGACAAATTCAAGGTGTGCAAAGTTGAGTATAGAGGGATGTTACAAACAGGAAACGTTTAAGGGTAAATCAGCCCCTTCCTTCTTTTTTAAATACTGTACCGTATTATATTGCACACAAGTATATATCTATGTAAAATACATATATTCAGTGCCCCTATGCAAAAATGGTGCATGTCCCATGTGGCCCCTCAAAAGTGAACCCCGGTAGCATCAGTTGATAGATTGTACACGGGCAACTGTAAACGGGAAAGTGTGAACAAAATCTTAATGAACGGTTGTTGTGACACTTAAAGCAAATATGCAATGTGTGTGCACGTACTTGGGCAGATATATAAAATAACAAAAAAGTCCTAACAATACTCAGCACTCTCAGAACACCAAACAATTGTGATACTTTTCCGAGTAATGGATAATTCATAAGGCCATTTTTTTTTACATTGCCTTCACATGGAAAATGCAGTATAAGAACTATTATTACTTTAGGTCAGGTGCAAGTTATCATGTCACTGTGCAAGTTATAGCTGGTACTTCTACTTCTTCTGAAACAAAAGTCAAATAAATGGACTAATCAAACTTGACTTACCTGGCAGCTAGAATGCTGAGACACCTCATCATCAGCAGGTTGGTTATTCTGCAATTTAGTTGGCAAAGACAAAACAAATAATAATTGTGATACTGTTCTGAATACTGGATAATAAGGCATTTTCTTTCTGCATTATCTTCACGTGGAAAATACAGTAAAATGCAATCTGTAATTATTTCAGGTTAGGTGAATTTGGAGTTTTAAAGGTATTGTAAAATATTGAGTCCATGATTACAGGTATTTACAAAACGAAATTCTTGACTAAGCTAGACTGTTAGGCACATATGCACATAAACTTAAAAATTCATTAAACTTTTAGACAAGTTGTTCCATTTTCTATGACTCTATAATCAGCGATCATGTTACTGTGCAAGTTATAGCTGGAACTTCATTATGCATTAACAAAAGCCTAACAAATGGACTAGTCAAACTTGACTTACCTGGCAGACAGATATCTCAGAGATCTCAGTGGGTGGGTTATTCTGCAATTTAGTAGGCAAAGACACAAACAAATACTTTTGGATTTTTTACCTTTATTATTAAAGAACTTGATCAGATTGATATCAGGACATGCCATTCCTTTATTTTGTGATTGTCCTTTATATTTTATCCCGTGATTCGGTTATGTATTTTTGGTCCTGTGAAGTTGAAATACTGTAGCTCAAATTAAGGCTTAATATGCATTTCAAAATACTTACTTCCACGGTCGCTGTCCCTGCAACACCCTCCTAAGAAAACCAAATTAAACAAAATTAAAGAATCACAACTAGTTTTTATGCATTATACAGCCAGATAACTATCTGTTTTATACAAAATATTTAACATTTGTTTCTTTTTTTCTATTCATTATAAAAACAGGGCCAGATTATTTGTTCACTGAATGTTTATTTATGCAAAAATATTTGACATAGTCTACTTAATTTAAAACATCAGGCATACATATTGTATATTAACGTTGTTCTCCCACCATACCTTACGGAGGACAGTTGCAAGCAAGCTGCAAGCTCTGATCTTATCCCTTGTGTCCTGCGCGGCCACGTAGTACGCATGTTGCGTAGCGGGCTGGTGTGCCATGAGCTCAGCCACTTGATCAGCATCTCTTTGTTTCAGTTCTCCAACAGCCTGCAACACCAGGGTTTATTTTTTAAGGGACTTGAACAATTACACAAGTACTATTTTGCAATCACCATGCAACTAAACTGTAGTTGAAAGATATGCTTCAGAATGAAACAAGTGAGAGTGCACACTTAGCATCTTCTGATTGACCAACCACCGAGTGCAATGTAGAAACTTTTGTGAAAGTGATGATAAAGCCGGTAAAAGACCAAATTATAAGGCCTGCACTTTTAATTGGTTGGAAATATTGCAAAAAGTATGGCATTTCTTAAAGTGTGCATGAACTTTTTCTAATTCCACTATACAGTTTGAAAGTAAAATGACCCATTTCCAGAGAAACTGTTATTGCCAACTTGAAAGAAAAGAACACTAAATATCTGAAGCAGTATATTAAAATCCTTAAATGCAAAAGTTTGCATGCAAACTAAATTGGGATCAAAAAAGTTTTTGATATGTTTTACACCTACTTGATTTAATAAATTATGAAACAATCACCAATCACCTTGGGAATGATGTATTTTGTTGTTTTCTTTGAAAAGACAGCATGCCAGAAGACATGAAGTTTTGTGCTATTAATTACGATCTTTACAGCAAGTCTTGTTTTTTGGTTTTTTTAAACACCAATTTGGTAGAGCTTCTTATGGAAAGTTGCAAATGGGCTACTCAACCTTTGAGTTCTTTAAGATGTTAAACTGCTTTTCTTCACGAGGAGGAAAAGTCAACATGTGTTCAAGCAGCCCAACGAGCAACAAAGCAGACTTAGTCTGCCACAAACACACACCTTGGTTGCTGCAGTCTTCCTCAGTATGGTGGCCCCGCACTTGCCCGGCATCCCCATAGATTTCCAGGTATCATCGGCCACTCGGGATACCTTGTAGATGCAGGCTCCGTGTGTACCCAAAAACAAGGGGGCATCTCGGTTCTTGATGATACCTTCTGATAATTGTCAATAGGAAAGTTTTCAAATGGAATTTATTAGTTTTTCCAGAAATAGGGTTCATTATAGTTGTTCCAGAATTAATTACATTATGAGGTTTAAGTTGTTGCCTCCGGCTAATTTGATATTTCTCCTGCGCAGTGACATGCATCATCATGCTTAGAGTTTTCCTATTTTATGCAAGTCTTTAAGGCAAGAATTTTCTCTAAAATGATCTCATATTAAGAACCATAATCAAAATGTCTTGTGCATTTAAATTTGTTGGCCCAGTCAGATATCATGCTTTCAAGTCCGCCTACACCAGGTCTATAGCCTGTGGTTCAGTGGTAAGTTTAGCTACCTCAAAGCTCAGTTGACTCATATGGATGTCTTGCAACAAAACAAAATAACGGAAATGATCTTATACATTTCCTATTATGTCCAGACAACTTGATTAGCTTGATTATATAAATAAAAGAAAATCCAAATCAACGGATGTCAAAACCCGCGTTTGTAACTGTGTAACTTTGTAATAATGTAACTCAGCAAAGAGTTTAAATCATTCGCATGTCTTGAATATTCAGGAATTTAACCTGACTCTGCAGTAAATTTGGAAGTCCTTGCTCTTCACTTGACATTTATTGTACTGTACTTTGCCACTTGACAGTTGAGTGGAATTGGGAAATACTGACTCTTACCCGGACACCCAAGTGAGCTTGGCCGAGCATAGCGTACGTAGAAGCAGAGTTGTTTTTCTAGTGCTTCATCAAGGATAACTGTCGCCGGTCCAAGTCTCTCTGTCTTGTGCTTGGTGACCTAGAAGAAAGACACATGATATATGTATATGCAAATCTCGATTAATACACTCAACCAAAAAGAGGTGCTTTAAGTTTTTGAGTAAGACAAAAAGTATTGGAAGGGGGGTGGGGACTTTCTTTTTTTGATGGAGTGTATTTGTTATACATGGCCTGAACATACCAGTTTGTTTAGATAATCAATCAATATTCCCATCAAGTGATAGGAATGTGCTTCAATTAATGACAAATTATGCACTCAGGTTGACTATAAGCATTCAACACTACACAAGGTTATTTTCACCTCTTTGAAAGAATGACACTGTTGGGGAAAAATAGTTTGATAACTACAAAAATGAATATTTAATCTTGTAAGTTTTGCATTGATCCTGTATAACTTACTTTGATTGTGTAGACATCTTCGAATGTCTCGGGAGCGACATGCCGTGTCCTGTCAAGGAATTGCCCCAGCGTAGCGTTCTGTATTACCCCCGCACGTGGGGCCTGGCTCAGGATGATTTTCATGATGATGAGATTGCGTATTCGCTTCACCAGTGACCACGTCAACTGGCTTGATAACTCTTTTGAGAAAATAAGATTAAAACAACAATTTCTGTTAGTGTACATACCTGATTATACATAAACTCAAAGTTAACTCCTGCCATGCCAAGTAGTGAAGTGTATGTTGAGGTTATTAATAAATCATTTTTAATGTTACACAAATGATTATTAATATTTCTTTTCATATACAAATGATTATCAATATTGTTTTTTTTCATATACTTGTAATTCCTGTCTTCCAAAATCAGCCAATATGTATTGCTTGTGCCTGCATACTCACGTTGATGACTATATGTCTTACTTTTCATTTGGCATTGAACATTTCTTCCGATACCAAAAGGGACAAGTCATTGTTTTTACTCATGAATTCTTAATCGTTTTTTTGGCAATAAGGACATTTCAGACCAATCTAATTTTTCCTCTCAAAGCATCTCTGTTGCATCACAAGTTTTCACAATTTTTAAACCACTGCCTAATAAACATTAATACACTATTATATGATATAAATTAATCGGTCCAATTCATTTCTCAATAAAACAAGCAATTAATATATGCTTTCTCAAATCTCAAATATTGGCTTGCGACATCTGTGGTGTAATTTAGTTAGAACTCATAGCACATGCACCATGCAAGTGGAGTGTCTTGTACTACTTTTTGATGAAATTGTGGATTTACACAGTTTTTGATCTCTCAACTCAAGATATTTATTAACTCCTTTTTCTTGACAAGATTCTCCGACTTGTTAATCAATGGAAAAAACATACAACTTGACTAACCTGACCTACACAACTGCTGCAGTTCAGATTCCGCCTTCTCCAGGAAATCGGTTATGTATTTGCCATCAATGATGAGATCTGGAATAATGTGCAGATATTGTAAGGATCAAGCAACGTAATTACAATTTCCAGCATATTCTTGAAAACAGAGAGGGAGCTGACAATCAACACTTTCTTTTGACATTTCACATTATAATGACAATATTTCCTAGGTTTGTGTCTTCATATATATTAAACAATGCAAATTAAAATGCAAATTAAAACATGCAGATCAATATATCACCAGCAGTTTCAAATATATTGGAACAATTTGAATGACTTCATAACTGCTTAAGGCATATTTTTTTTTCTAAAAATGTAACTGCATCATAATGTACATTTCAGAAATTTTGACTTACAAAAAAAAAGGATGAATATGCGGCATTGCACTGAAGTGTAATGAGCCATGGTTCAATGTAGGGGTTTAGTTTTGAACTCCAAAATATACAAAAACAGGAGTCTCCACATGTGTGTACATCCTCTTCAATTAATTATGCAATTAAAACATTTGATTTTATATTCAAAGTACTCACCACCAATCTGTGATTTAACCTGAGACTGGCGGGCAATAATGCCTGATCTAGTGCTTCTCATGAAATCATCCACTACTGTCTGTGTCTTGACGATGACAGAGGGGCGGACTTTCAAGACGGACGTAGCCTGGTCATCATATATGGTAAGAAAGTGGCAGAACCGCTTCAGAGCAAACAGGTAATTGCTGATCGTCTTTGGTTGCTTGCCGTTGGCAGCAAGGGTCACCATCATCCTAATTGAGGTGAACAACACTACTTTCAATTGTCATCAATAGATTTTTTCCTGACTTGTGAAATTATTCTCAGTGACTTAATTGATTATGCATCTCCGTTAACATGAATGAAACATTCACACAGCAAATACTCATAGCATATTGATCACTACGTTGTTGCCCGCTCAAAATTTTGAACAGGTTCAAAATTATTCCTAGAAGGCCAGCGCACCGCTAACAAATGATACTTACGGCAAACGTGTCACAAACGAATAACATTACACGAACGGATACCCAAATGTTCATGCTATGTCGGTACACACACTCATCAGTTTTAATGTTACAAGTTATATTGCTTACTTTTCAGGCATTGATGGGTGTAGCATTTGTGCATATGAGCAACCCATCGCATCTTTAAGCAGCTGCAGATTTCTTGTGATGTTCTTTGCGTATGCTTTTCCTTGACGCGTACATGCTTTCGTGGCTGCTATGTACTTATGAAAATTGTTCACAACATCTGCCGGCAAAACAAAAAAAACAGCAAATTGTGAATACAATTGCAAATTTTCTATACTTCTACATTAAAGTAGACACACTCACTGATGAGTACTGCCAGGGTAAGCATTCTCTGTCTTGAGATTGACTGTGTGCTGATAATATAATGGCCTGGAACATCTCAAAATGTCTTATCCCCACACTAGACAGTAAGTCTCATGCTGGGTTGTACACCCGCAAGACAATGGAAGCTTATGATAAAAGTATGTGTGCATAGATTTCAATGAGAGTCAGCTTAATTAACTTTTTATTTTATTATGGATACCGTGACATGAAAGGCTCTGTAATAAAGATATCCAAGACATGCTATAACAAACATTATAAAAAATTGTTACCATGGCACGTGACAGGCACATGTACATCTGTCGTAGAATCATTCGGCAGATTGGTCTTCTTTTCACGACGCTTCTGCCGATATTGAGCTAGACGACTCTTGAGATTTCGGTAAAGAGTGCTCTTCAACTGTAAAACATGGTAGAATTACTTGGTTATAGAAGTAACATTTGCTGAAGACAAATCTCTGAATAATTTTGATTCTGCAGGCAGGGGCGTTTTTGCATTTGTTTTTTTTTAATGTCAAACAAAAGACATCTCAAGTTATGATTAGGCAAAACAAAAAGTCTCCAGTTTCTGGTATGCGCGCACATCGCCGTAGCCATGCGCCTTAATTAAAAAGGTTTTTTTAATGTAAGATGATGTCTCAAAACCGCCAAACTCACTGGTTTGACTGGAATCCTGGTGCTGCACAATTTTAACGTGTTTTTAGATTGGGTTCCGATCGAGTATAAGCTTTGTGTGACCTTTCTGGGCTTCCATACATTTTGCACTAAATTTAGTTGGGCATCATTTGCAGTCATCAACCGACATTTGAAGAAAAAACAAGAAAAAAAAAAAAAAAGCCCCGTCGCCGCACTACTTTTGGGGCAAGCTCCATACCAGAAACCAAAGACTTTTGCTTTGGCCTTACAAATAGGTGGCATTTCATCAGCCCCAATTTTGTAATACTCTTAAATTGTCAAGACTTGTGTCAGTTTTATACTGCAGAAGTGAAGTTTTACCTTGACGTTGTGTAGGTTGCGGATGTGGAGGTCCGGTCTTTTCAGTCCCCTTTGGTGGCAACCTTTCACCGGGCATGGGTACGTACGTCGGCGTTTCTTTGGACTTGGCCCATGATTTATAGGCTCCCTTTGTCATGAATGAAAAAGGAAATTATAAATTAAAAATGAGTGTTTGCAATTGATTTCTTTATCAGTGGAAGGGACGTTTTTGTACTTGGAAGTCCTTTGACCTTTCTCTAGCTTGTGGGTCGATCTGCACTATTGACTTGAAGGGTAATATGTAGTTCAGGTTGTTGGATCAACCAATCAGGATACACTTTTCGGGCTTGCTTGAAGATTGAGACAGCATGGCAGATCTTTACAAAAATTGATACTATGTGTTAGTGTACAATGAATATTTTTAGTTTTGCACGATTTTTATTTAGGAAATCTGTTTACCTTTCTCTAGCCTTGCCGAGCATCCGCATCCTTTTGTCCTTTGATTTGAGTTGGTGAGTTCTCTGCAGGTGTTGAGACAGGTACTTGTACCTGCTGTTTACACACAGCGGGCATTTCCTTGCATATCGCTGACCCTATTTAAATGAACAGTTAATATTTACTTGAAACATGCATCAAAGCCACTGTAAAACTAGAGTGGTACAGCAGATACATTTTGGTCATAATGTTTACGGTATCTTATTTTGTCTATGAAAAGTCAGTTTTCTCTAAAACTTACAAAAGCTTTTGGTGGCAGCCTTCCCGCGAAAAGTTGGCCTGAATCAGCAAATATTCAGTTATACCGATTTATTTCTGTGAATTGATTATACATGCATCTTTAAACGGATTTGGGAAATGTTTGTGATATTTTGACACATTGGAAATTATAAAAAAAAGTACCAACAAAATTATAAATACATACGATTTCTGGTACTGTTCAATGTCTACAACTTATCAAAGTTCTTCAGATTAACCAACATTATACTTGCATCACAAATCTGAACATTTCCAATTTGAGAGCTCAAGTACAGAAACAAAACATATCATAATACTCTTACTGGCTTGTAGCTCTTTCTGGCATCATTCTTTGGTGAGGTTTTGCTCTCTGACATTTCAACCTCCGGCTCAAATGCGCTGTCATCTGACTCAGAAGACCTATCTGACGCATCACCTGGCTGATCTGATGGGTCGTCGCCTTCCACATTCGATGCCGAATCAGGTTCCTCATCTTCCTCACAACTCGAAAACAAATCTTCATCACTCCCACCCTGGTCAGATTGGCCACCATCGAGACTTTGCTGATCAGATTCCACATCACACTGCTCCTCTCCAGTCATTTTCCTGAATATAGACATTGCCTGTACAGAAAGGAGAAAAAAATGGCAAGATAATGTATAGTTAAATCAAATAATTAATTGAATTTACATTTTAGTTTAACGAGCATGATAAAAGCATGCACAGACAATTAATATCAGCATCTGACCAGTACAGACCAGGCTCCAACCAGTTTCAAATAGAGTGATCAATACTGACCAAGCAAATATATATTCGCATTCATAAATACATTTTCAATAAAAAAATCAAAGATTTTCAGATAAAAAAAAAAGTTCAACCATTTTGCTTCAAGGTTTTCTTAACACCCCTCAAGCTAATTAATCAGAGTGCCAAGCTCGGGAATAAGTCATAAACAACTCCTTTTGTGGAGATTGGCGGATGCGCGTCACATGTATATGTATGATGACGTTTGCAATATAAAATACTGACTCACTGGTAGTATTGCGCATGCCTACGTGAGGATTGTGAACATTCAACAGGGATGTGAGCGACCACTGATAAAAAAATAGCTGAAAGCAGTTGAAAAGGTGTAAAAAAGCTAAACTTTGGAAATCTCCTATACTTTTGTACACAGCCAGTGAGGAAAAAAAGCTGAAATCCGAAACAAAAAAAGCTGAAATCAGCTTTAAAGCTGAGATTTCACACCCCTGATTCAACCAATAAAACGGTAAAAGACACTTGATAAGAGTCCTAATTTCATGTTACACTGGAAAAGTTCAGCCAGCCATGTTTATCATCCGTTTAAGTCCAACCATGTAAGAGGAATGGGTAAACTGTCTTGGGTAAGGCCAAAAAAAAGAATAGTTCTGCTTCCGATTACATGCCTTTCAAAAATAGGGTCGGTCGGTCGGAAATTTTTTTTTTTTTTGCCAATTTTGTTTATGCAGATTGAATGGGGTATTCAATTATATGCGAAGTTTTAGCCTGAACTATTTCCATTGCACTAAAAAAGCTATACACAAAATGGCCACAAAAAGTGAATAAAACCTACCTTAATTATTGTCAATATTTTTACGTTCGATAATTCGTAAAAAAAATTGTGGGAAATTCAGGTCGTTCGCACCATAGGCACAACGCTAGTCAAGAAGGGGAGCTGGCCAAAACTCCGAAGTGTGTGATGCACTGTACATGTACATGTGTGGCCCGCGGCCAACGGGTCGAACATTTTCTGGAAACACGCTGCATTGTATCACTCCAAATACGAGTAGTGCGATCTCAAAATGAACTCTTGAACACGGAAAATACATACACAGACAAGCTAGATCAAATCTGTGATTTAACTTGCAAAAATGTTCTTTCTCCATCGGTGTTTTCTTGGCATTTTTACGATGTCTTTCTCAGCATTTTTACGATGTCGAGTCCGACCAGTTGACAGAGCACGTGCCTGCGCCTGCATAGCCATGGTAGTGCTAACGATCGCATAGCCGTGCACAGACTAGTTACCGCATTTTCATAATTGGCCCCTGCACGGCGCGGCGGGAACCAGTCGTCGCCGCATTGCGCTTATTGCGCACGTGATTATAGACATCGAATTGCGAAGTAGTTGAATCGCGCAGCGAATTTGTAAAAATAACGGAGGTTTCTTTTGAAAAAATAGCGAATGTAAGTAAGAAAACAATAAATACAAGCATTTTTTGATGCAAAAGGGTTGTTGAGAGGTATTTTGTGAAGACAGACAAGACATAAGGTTTTTATTTTTATTAAATTATTTATTCAATCATTTTTTTTTTTTTTTTGGAATTGCCGATAAAATTTTTAGGGTCGCAGCCTTAAAATAGGGCCGGTCGGGTAACCGGAAGCAGAACTATTCTTTTTTTTGGCCTAATGTGAATAACTATCCTAACTGTGGTTGATCTAGAGTTTAACATTTTGTTTGTAGAACTTAAAATGTTACTCACGTTTTCCTCCATTCTGTAGCAATGCAACCACAAGAGGCTGAAATATAAACAGAGTAACGTAAACTAATTAACATAGTAACTTTGAGCAATATTTTACGTGACTCATTTACTTTAAATTTAATGCTAAGGATGATCGCATCATTCTAATTAGAAGTCTTCCGAATTGCATGTTTGTTAGAATTGTAGACTTTGTAAAATAAATTTGCGTGCACAAACTTAGACTAACTTGGCATGCTATTCAAAGCCTACAGATCTTACAGAACCATCAAGTGATAAATGTATAATTGGGCAATACACACTGATGCCGATGCGTACTACAAATGTACTTTGCACATCAAGCTTGAATCCCAACAACACAAACTGTTTTGTTTGGGGTATTTTTTGCACGAGTTAATGTTCCACACAGTCACAAGAATGTATTTATTGTTTTGACTCCAATTCTTTTTAATCCCTGTTCTCGATTTCTTTCCCGATTCCGGCTTTCAAATAAGCATATACACAAGAAAGGGGAGAAGGTTGTGTGTATATCATGCTAAAGAGGGGGTCCAAGCCTTGCGTGCAGTATGCAAAGGGAAAATTCACTGCCAAAAATTGCTAAAGTGCTATTCTAGTGCCCTACTACAGTGTATGCACGTACACAGCAGGGGAGGTGGGTCTCAAAAGTTGTCAGTTTGCGCCTTCTTATGGACAGTTCTTAAGGGGCTCTCAATTATGCCACTCGATTGCTTGGTTCAGAAAATATAAAAACATTACGGAACTGTCTGGTTCCCTGACGTAAAAGTAATCACAAACTTTGGCTGTTGGAGCCAGACTATCAACCAAACAGTTCTCAGACAAAATTTCTCTTTTGGAAAAAATCCTCCAAACACCTAATTTCAAAGAAGAAATCTAATTTTAAAAAGTATTTGTAGCAACAAATCAAGCTACCAAGCAATGTAACAGTTAGGTAGTTGGTTTTTTTCCATGTTCGCATTGCACGGTACTCGGTATGCCCTATATATATGGAACTCTTCATTCTTAATGGTCAGAGCTCTCCGGGTAGGCTACACATATAATCGCATGCAAATTAGGCCTATATTACTAGGATGTGTTTTACACAACAGTGGAACATGGCGTTGTTATATGACACCACGTTACGGGGTAAAACATTAGAACTAAATGTGCTACGTGAAATTTATTAGGCCTATTTCGAAATGTGTAATTTCAATCAACAGTCTGAAATGTAGTCGTGCCTGCTGGCTATATTATGTCATGTATGTGGACTGTTTGAGTTCCATCATTTATTTGGTACTTGCAGCCTCTAATTCTTATGGGCCTATATCGTGTTCAACTACAACAGATAAAAGCAGGGTATTTTACACGTGAAATAAATCATGTTGGGAAGGCAGGTAGCTAGGGCCAGTTCTGCCAAGCCGAGCATAGGCCTAAGCCTACAGTTCTTTAAACAAACATGCTTATGCTACAGCAGCGAGCTCGGGTGAAAATTGTGGAACTGAAAGTACTGTTACCATCCACATCAACGTGACTGGTTTGTTTTAATCCCAAACACAAGCTGAACTTACCTATACTCAGTAGGAAAAATGAAGTTTTTGTGAGCGTGTCTAGTCTGTACGTGTGCAGTGTGACATTGACAACTTAGCACAGCTACACATGTACTACATGTACTAGTGCACGATGCATAATGGCGTCCTGTACAGTCGAGTGTGTGACGTGAGCGCGCGCGACGTACGTCCGTGCTCATAGGATAAAAGTTGCTACACAGTCGACCTTTAGCCTGAATAATTTGCATACCATTGCGGCTACGTCACAGGGTTAGGGTTAGGGTTAGGGTTAGCTAGGGTTAGGGTTAGCTAGGGTTAGGGTTAGCTAGGGCTTGTGTTTTTTTGGTCGGAGGGGCAGTATTGGCCTGTAAACGGTTATTAAATCAAAAATTCACCCACAAACAAACAAACAAACACCCAATAAACAAAATCATCATAAAACTAATAAATAATGGACGTTTTTCTTGTTTCTCTTTGTCTGTCTTATTGTTCCCGTTTGTTTTAACATTGTTTGACCCTCAAAAGCATTTTCCCTTCATGATGATTAATTTTTGCCTGATTTAAGTCTTAAAATAATATTTCAAACTGAGGTGCAAATAATTTTGTGAAAGAGGGTGGCACTTTGTTGTCTCCTCCTTTCCACAAAATGACCACAAACAGCGCCCTCTTTTTGTAAAATGGCAAGGACTTTGACTTTTCTAGCAAAACGTCATTTACCGTGTTGAAAGTATTTTTTGGCCGATTGTTCATGTTTTATCCGAGTTATAAACTACGAAAATCATTTTGAAACCCTAAAAATGTAAATGAAAATAGTTTTATATGGGGCTGTCATTGGGTGGTAGTAGACCACATAATGACATTGTTTTTAGCTTAATTAGGTTAATTAAAAATTAACAGTAGACTCAAGCACTATAAATTTCCCAATAATTGAAGAAAATTAAAATATTTAAAGGTTCCTTTTTAAATAAAAGGCACCGGCCACAAACTTTGCCAGTTATAGTCATTTGATTGCCGAAAAAAATGTTAAAATGCCCGTTTCCTATGAAATTTGATGATTATAACAAATTGAAATTTTCGAGAAAAAAACAAAGCTTTAAAGTTATTTTAACATTTTTATTCAAATTACTGATGTCCAATTTACCTTTTCAGACCATTTTTGACACATAACTGCCCCACATAATTTAAAAACAGCGATTTTAAAATTTGCGACTTTTCGATATCGGTTTTAGTAGTGCCTTTTCAACTCGTGAACAATAGGGGGTAAGGTGGCTAAGTACCTTAGAGGACTTTTTATACGATCTTAAAAATAACATATTTCGTATTTTTACAAAAATTTTTTGATGAATCTTAAGGAATGTCCCATTCACTCCTCCTTTTGTTAAAATTAGCCCTGAAAATTACGTTTTTCTACATATTTCGACCCCCTTCCACAAAGTACAATTTGGTGCCCGTCATCATCCCTGGTTATTATGTGGTTTGTGTTACGTTAGCTTCTAGCAAGGGGGATTTAAACTTCAGAAATAATATCAAGATTGCAGTTATTTTTCCTTCCATGGTTAATTTTGTGCAAACTGCCTTAAAAATTATGCAAGTGCCTCGCTGGTGTTTCTGTTTGGGCGTCTTCCATTACACAAATAAATTCAGAACTTACAACTGAAAAGGGTAGGTTTTCATTCTTGCTATCAACCCCTGTTCAAGGAGAATAATTATCCCAAGTGCACTACTAATAGAGGCAGTGAAAAAATATGGTGTTTTTAGATGTTTGTTGAAAAGAAAATACACCCCATAAGACATCTGTCCTCTGTGAAATCGTAAACGTTTTTAAGAAATCACTGAAAGAAAAATTAGAGGAGAAACGGAACCAAATATCTTTTGAAACTCATCAGCCACAATTTATTTATTACATGTGCATTATTTCAATCGGTGTTGACAAACCATGTATACACAACACTCTAATAATACACATTTTAAAGTCTTAATTATTGAATCTGTTGAATATTTATCTCCTCAATTAATTTACATGTACATCATTTTAATTGTACAAATATCACAACATGTAAAAGAGAAACAAACTTTCGTAAGAGGAAAAACGGACATCCAAAGAGCCCATACACTTAAAAAAAGTGGTAAGGTTACACAAAGGTGCAAGGACTTTCCAAGTGAAGCTGCATGATTCAAAGTATACTGAATTCTCTATGCCTGCAATGCATTATTTGCATCAGTAATTATTTCAAACAAACTTGATCCTGATTGGTCGATCAATGGCAGTGGCGTATAGACAATGCAGCTTTTGATGTCAGGAGGGGAGGGGGCATATTCAAGAGCCTCAATGTCCCAACAAGTGAAATCAAAGATTGATGGTGAATACTTCACCGTAAAAACCTGATGAGTTTAAAACTAAACCACTACTTTGAACCATGGCTCATTACACTTTGAATAAAGAATGTCATAAATTATTTTTTATAGACTACATTTTTTAAATGTATATTACGATGCAATTACATCAGCATATTTGTCACTCTCTCAAGACTGAAAATTCTTACTCTGGCGTTAAATTCTTCTTTAGCATTTTCTGTGAGTGTGTCCATACTTGATACATTTGGTCAATAAATGAAAATTTAATAAAGGAAGCCGATACATAACATTAACATCAAAATGGAGTGACACAGCATGTGTGTTTGTGCCGACTCTTTCTAGAAAGAGAATAACTATGTTTGACGGCCTTCCTACTTTCATTACTTTTTAAACATTACTAGCAGTGACCAGCATTGAGGCTTCACCGCCCCAATCCATGTGCCAGGGTCTAATTCATGTTACTAGAGATGCATGACATTTTTAATTAAGTCAGAAAACAATCTCACAAGATTTGCGTGACTGCCTGGCACTACAATTCCAGAAGATACATGTACATCAGAAAATATGTGTAGGCTTGTTGTCTTCACAGCAGCTTGTAGGTTGGGGCGGGAACAGACACCTTCATCCTGAAAAGGAAAATGTTGAAATAATACACATGTGAATTTATTAACAAAACAGTTTAAAACATGCAAAAGTGAGTCACACTACACAATAGAGTACGGAAGTAAATACATCATGTGCACAATTGTAAAAGAATAGTGCGTGATTTAGCCTGTGAACAAACATGCGCACGTCCATTCGTTTGCACTTCACTTCCTGGTTCTAACTGACGTCACATTTCGGGACTCTATAGGTGTTCAGTATACTAAGCATGTAATTATGCCTTGAAATCTCACTTTTAGTTCTGCTGTGAGCACTTCCAACAAAATGATCTGGAGGCATTGGCCACTGAACACCTTTAAACAAATTTAGGCTAAAAGCATTTTTTTTTAGAACATAATTAAATGACAAGGCCAAAACCAAAAAAAGGAATTCAGCTTCCATTTATGTGGCATTTGAATATAGGGTAGGTAGGTAGGTAGGGAATTGTTTTGATTTTTTTTTTGAGGGGGGGGGGGTTGATCATATGTAAGTGTCTGCGTGTTGTCAAGGTTAAAGGTAGGAATTGATGGTCTTGGGTTTTTTGTTTTCTCGTTTCCCCCCCCCCAAAAAAAAAAAATAATAAAATTAAAAAATTAAAAATTAGGGTAGAAGCTGACAAAATAGGGTAGGTAACTAACCAGAAGCAAAACTGTTATTTTTATTTCGGCCAAACCAAACACACACTGCAATACACAGTATGTGTATTAAATTACATTAAAACACAAGTTGACAGTTACTTTTTTAACATAAACAGAGCGCATACCTGAAAGATGCTTGCCATCACACAATGCGTTTATGCTAGCCTGCTGGTCATCTGTAAGGTTCTGACAGGTTCCAAACACTGCTTGTGTGCATAAACATTTAAACCGCCTAAAAACAAAATACAAACCAGATGGAATGTGGATTAACGGCCATATCATGCAAATTCATACAAACTGAATCAAGTCAAGCACATCTGATGTAAATTTTGCTGGGAGTTGTCATGGGTTGAAGCTGGCATGATTTTTGTTGGGGATTTATAATGTCATTTGGAAAGCCTGTTATAGCAGTTTCTCTCTCAAATTAGGGTAGAGCGATGGGTTGGTTAAAATGTTTTATGGGGGCTCTAAACGGCAGGTTTAAATCTTCCGGCCAAAGTCAATTCCTTTGCCTAACCAAATTTAATAAAATAAAAATTAATTTAGCCAATGTCAACAACAATTTGTTTTGGGGGCATGGCATTGGCCTAAGTTTTTGTTTTGATGTTAAGTTTATTTTTAATAAACAAATAAATATGTAGTTTGTGTGATACACTAGATTGTGCGGGTACGTGCATGTAGCTGAAAAACAGGGATTTTTCTCTTGCTCATACATGTACCTTGGATTCTACAACTATCATGACTACAGCTGTTAAACAAACATGTTACACCTTTGCGACTAGACATTTATGTGACCGAACGAGGTGTTCTGTCACACATATGATGTTGGACTTTTTTAGCTTTGTGTTATTTCAGACTTTTGGACATCAACTTCTCGATCAATTATAAATCATTGCTGTATACATATCTATGGGTTTTAGAGGAAAGATGCATTCATTCTCTACCCCTAGAAATATGGCTGCTCCACGTACCACGTGCGTAGCGGAGCCCCATAGACGATCGCCAACACATTTGTTGACTACTAGTCCGAAGCAACTACTATAAGTACTAAGTACAAAAATGTACATCAAAATGTAGTCTATTGCCAGAAACTGCTGCACAGTTTTCCCTAATCTCTAAAATCTGTATGCACCCAAACATTCCGGATGGATTCTGTAAAAAGTGATGAAAAAAATCTGTGTTCCGTACTGTAGTTCTCTTTCTACTAAAGTAGACATGGGAGCCGTAGCCTAGCCTAGGGCAGCGCAGGCAGATATGGCAGTTCTCATTCAACAAAAAAAATGCAGGTAAGATTGCAAAATCAAAGCAGGGCACTAGAGAATCCCCATGCCGAGTAAAGCTTATCGAACCGGGCGAATATTTCAATAGAAACAAAAATCCCCAACTTTTGATCATAGGCCTACACCGTACACGATTCACCACCATACACGTACGGTTTGTACACTCGGTTAACTTTTTGTGCCCAATTTCCGGACGAACCGTTTTATTGATTTTTGGACTAAATTCTGCAAACCAAACTGCATAAAGAGAAACGATAAATGACTGTGTAATGTAGCTTTGCTTACGTGACTTGGACGCCTTATGCACTTATCACAAGTGAGAATTCTGATCGAGCAAGTTGAACCATAAACATAGTCACAAGCAGACTAGTAGTAGTGTACGGTAGTGCCGTATCTTTGGGTTTAGCGTACGAACATATCGCGTATACCGTACCGTATCGCGTATCATGCACACTTGCTTTCCTAGCTTGGGCGATTTACCTGGATTCTCTCTTTACAGACAATTGAGGGCGCCCTTAAATCCACATTTTGAGCATCATCATAAAGCACTGAGAAAAGGGCCGTAAACCACAAGATGCTATCGGCACAGGGGGGATGATGATGATGATAGGGATGATGGGGATCGGGGGGGGGATGGGGGGATGATGATGATGATGATGATGATGATATTGATGAATGGAATACAAAGTGGGGTGACGTCGGGGCTGAGTGCAGGGTAGGGAGGAGGGCAATAGGTTCCAATTACGGCAAATAGGAGTGGGGTATGCCTGTACGTTTTACAGCTTGTTGTTTACATGCATGCACAGTGGTTTTTATATCATTTAGGTGAAATTATTAAGATGTAACATAAGTTGCATCTGTAAGTTGCTTTGTAATTTTCATTTACAACTTTGTACTGATCCCACAGAAAGGGGTTGATTTATTGCTGGTCAACACCACATGGTTTAGCTACTTGGCTGTCCGAATTCTGCAATATCAAAGAATTACGGCTTTCACAGCATAACGATCAGCTTTGTATGTATTAGCTTTAAAAAAGGCGGTTGTGTTTGGAAGGGGAGGGGTTTTGAAAGGTTACGAATACAAAAGCATGTTGAGTCCCAGCATGCGTCAGGGCACCAAGTTTTACGGGAAATTCACGTAGCACGTTCTTTCTTGTGACGGTCCGAGCAGTAACGGTAATAAACCGTAAAAACTACGGCAAATGGACAGTGCTTTACGGGTTTTCTTTACAGTATTCCCAATTCCATGGCTCTCAGAACTCTCTAATGATAATTATAAAGTAATTTGAGTGTACATCCTTTATTCATGAGCTCCGCGGACGGATTTTTGGTCTATTTACTGGGGTATACCCTTTAATATACCTGAAAGTTTGTTATTTTCCCCAAACCACTTTTATGACAAAAGGGAGGATCCATCACTTATATTCATCAAAAAATTTGAAAGAAAAAAAAAATCTGATGTCGATATCATACCTGAACTTTGGCAGCTTTTATGCGCATTCCCCGGCTATAATAATATAATATTTTAATATTTGATTCGGTGAATTCACATATATACAAAACAATTACAATATAGGCTATACATAAAATTGAATATTAAAACAAAAGGATATAATCAATAAGAAACCAACTAAACAATAACACACGAAAGACAGAACGTGGACAGTGCAGGGCTGCCAAGGAGAAAAACAAAAGTGAAACAAAACACTGTCGCCAATAGTGCGTGTCTCTCCAACCCTGTATAATGACAGACACATAACACAGACTAAGCATGCACCACAAAACATATAAAAACACGAACATGGCACAAGGGAGGAAAGGTCCTAGGGGGTGTAATATTATTAAACAGGAAGGGGAGGGTTAAATAGGGCCAATGGGAAGGGGAGGGGTAAGACAAGAAATGGGAGAGAAGAAACAAAATCAACTGAGGAGGAGAGGGCTGGGGAAAGGGGTATGGTGATGGAATGTATCCAGCAGAGCAAAACAATCATGAGCAACCAAGAACAGCATTAAACTTGGGTTAAAAACAACAGCAGAGTTTAAAAAGTTTTTTTTCAATTGATGTCCAAGTAAAAAATTAAGCATGAGATAACAGATTACAGAGATCCCGTGTTAGTTTCCGCAAAAAGGAAGACAGGGGTGCTCACGCTAACATATCCACCAAGTTATCGGGATAAGTACCCCATGTCCTAACAAACTGACAGGGAATAGAATATTTAAATATGTCAGTGCGAGTATACAATGTGGTGAAAGGTCAACCAGGAGTCCGCATCTCTACTATTCACATTGACATCACTTAAAATAAAGACGGAGAAAAATCACCCATTTGCCAGATGTTTACAAACAAATTTCATGAATGAGAACTCTCGCCTGGATCTAAGAGTGCCTAAATGAAGCACACTGAGCCGCTCAGGGTAAGGTTGCACCTGTCTACGTTGATGCAAGATGAGACGAGTGGCATACCTTTGAACCTTTTCAAGTTGATCAATGTGCTAGTAATAGTAATTTCAGGGTTTTCACCTCTTGAATGAGAATGTCGTCCAAAACAAACAAAGGTGGGTACGCTTGCTGCCTAGTTCTGCATAGAGCCATAACTTGACATTTCTGGATGTTGAGAACAAAATAATTATTTTTAGACCAATCGCCGATGGTGTCGAGATTGTTCTGGAGCTGAACAATGTCACTGCTGGACCTTACGTCCTTAAACACAAAGGTGTCATCAGCATAGTGATGGGGTGAGTTTTCCAGATGCAGATTGAGATCATTAATATAGATGTTAAATAGTAAGGGTCCTACAACTGAAAACGGGGGCACCTCGGAGCCAACATCAGATCAGGCAGATTGACACCCATGAAACACAACCCTTTGCTTACGACCAAAGATAAAGGACTCAATCCATGATAGTAAGGGTTTTTTTAACACCATTTTTTTATAGAGCGCCTTCATGGCGTTAATTGAGTTCCAGCTCCTCCCAACCCCCAAATCACCCTCCTACTTTTTTTTTTACTTTTCTTGAAATTGCTTTAATCGGCCGATGGCTTATCGGACCTTTGAATATTTGTGAGCATTTTGTTGCAGATCCGCCCTTGGGGACCCCTTTAGAAACACTGTCGCAGCAACGCGGATGCGTGGCGCGGAGGCCGGCCATTTGTAAATTATAAAGGGCGCACCCCATTCTCATTAGACACCAGTGATAAATCCCCATCACTTCAAAATTCTTTTTAAAATATTCAGAACTCTCACAGATGTTCAGGTTGCACCGAAAAATTATGATAACAACATGCCATCTTTCATTTTCTTTTCATTTTTTGGTAGGTTGACCAATAACTTAAAAAAAAAAAAAAGCTCACCCAAAGAAAACCACCGCTAAAACGAACGATGTTTCCCAAATTGGAACAGTAGCCATTTGGAAAAAGGATCCCTCCACAACATGGCTTATAAATAGCGCCACTAAGGGACCCAACTGCATCAAAAATGCTCAGAATTGGAAGCTCCAAGGCCACGCTAGAGGTGCAGTACCATTATGTTTTCAGTTCGCAGACTCAAATTAAAATGGACAAACACAAATTAAATTTACACTGACTCGAAAGAAATGACCAGCTCAACTCAGCCGTATTGTATGAGATTCATTTATCAAAAAAGAATATCCTTATTTTAAAAGCAGGTAAGAACAACTTGCCAACAAACGCACAGATTGAATGTGACAAGAACTGGAACAAAACAGACCCCCCATTCTGTGCAAATAATTCTCTCGAACTGGCTTTTCAAAGGTGTGTACACAGATGACCACAGATGGTCCTAGAAGAATGTCGTCATAATGACGTCATCATAAAAGTGCATTTTTCAAGTGCCTATGTCTAGAGAACTACAAGGCCGATTCTAATGAAACTTGGTATGTAGACATAGCGGGATGTGTTATAGATGAAAATAGAGGTGACGTAATGATGACTTCATCCTGTTGATTTGTATTGATTTTTATTTTTTCAGCTCATCTTCATATCTCAGGAACAAAACATGATACGTTCAAAATTCTTCTTGTATTAGGTTTTGTAGGTCACAGATATATGCACACATTTTCGTAAAATTTGTAACGTCAGCATGAGGTCATCAAAAAAATGTTTTGTTTTTTTAAACATATAAGGGAATGCCCCATCGTTATGAAACTTGGTGGGAGGGTAGGTATTAATAATAGTATTCAGAATCTGAAGTGACGTCACCATGACGTTATCAATCAACTGATTTTTTATTAATTTGTAAAATATTTTTTTCTAATTGCAAAAGTTGACATAAAATGCAATCAGATTGACTTCAAACTAGGCACACACTTTAATAAGCCATTATCTGAAGCATGCTGAATCATGACGTCATGATTTCGTCATCACGTACGTATCATGTGACGTCATCTTAAATGTGCATTTTCCAATAGGCTATATATAGTGCACTACAATTTGGCCGAAAAAAATACCAGAGTACCATTGAAGCAGTAGTTTGTCTTTGCCACCTTGAGACGCCAGTAGCGGTTTATAAGGTGTTTTGTCATACATATCTTTGTTGTCATTTAGAAATGTTGTTTTGGAGCCAGATGAGTGGCAAATTACGAATCACGAATTGCACACGATCGGCTGGGGCGATAAAGTACGACTAATCCAAACCCAAATTAAAAACAGAAGAGCTGTGGCGCCCAGTTACTGGGTCTAGTAGCATGTAGCTTTTTAATCCCAGAAATGTGGCTCAACTATTTCCTCTGTACTGGTGAGTCACACGTACAGCTACGTGTGAGGAAAGGTCGTGTTTAAAGTCCATGTAATGTAATTTCTTAATACAATCATAACAAATACACTTTTTCCCCCGTTAAACCTGAGTTTCAATTTTCATTTTATTATTTTCAATAGTAAAATTCTCCTCACTAGTTACTTTCACTGCTGTGTTGATCTCATGTGAGTCACATTTATGGAGCTAATTTAGCGGCACATATTCATAATACAATTAAAGTTTTAACATATATATTTCAAAACTTAAACGAATAATATATTTGAAAATAAAATACACCATTGTTCTTCCGGACGGACCAGCATTCATTTCATGTATATTTTATCGCTTAGTTGCATTATTTTTAACATTAAAACATACGAGTGCGTGCATTTCTTGATATTTTATTTGTACTTGGTACTTGTTTGTTTTCCTCCAAAAAGCTTCCACGACGGAATTAATAAATAGAAGCTTTTGATGCCAAGGGTGATCATTGTTGGCCTAGAATGAAGCATTCAAACGATATTCTAAAACCCACGTGTAATGGGAATCGATGATGTATTGTGGTAGACGATTCTAGTGTCGGGTGGTTCAGGGAAGAATGATTGGAATTATGATTGAATTATTTATGCCGTCTTCTCTGTCTTTCTTGTTCTGGACGTGTTTATGGCAACATCTTCCTTGTATATGTTATAGGTAAGTGCGGATTAGCTCACCACT